CATTCCTAGACTAGCATGTAAGAACACCTAATGCTACTAGTACTAAAGTAGCATGGATCTCACCCTCACCTTAGCCTTGTTGATTGGATTGAAACGGAAGACTGAAACAGGAAGGATAAGCTACTGCTGATCTACATTCAAGAGATAAAGTTTAATATTCCATTATTAATCTTTCTACAATACTTAATCGGTTCGGCCAGCATGTACCAGTCTGACTAAAACAGATATAACTTCTTACGTATACATCTGTTAAACCCGAACTCAATGTTAATGGGAAGGCAAGACTCGGGGCTTTCCAGTGATATATAGATCGTCTCCTGGGTCCTTATAGATCGACAGTAAACAAGCCCGCAAGTCCGCTGATCGGATCTAAAAACATGAATTCCAGTTTCAGAAAACAGTGATTTTTCCTTATATTCAAATACGATTTGCGAGCAGACCATACCTCATAATTCGAATCCAAAAAAGCTACAGAAACTAGAATCTGTGATCTTTCCAACAAAACCCATATCAACATCTAGTTCTTTAGGACTTGGCCGAAAATCACCTGTGAAGTCGACTGGTCGCATGTTCATTCTGCACAGATCAGTCCCATAAAACACCAATTATTTTCAGATCATAATTCCGAATGACAAACGGTTTTTGGCTATAAAAAGATATGTGTCTCGCTTACTTACCCAGAAAGTTTCATTCAATTCCGATACGTTTTACCCGTCTGTTTCTCTTCTTCCATAAAACGGGACAGATGTGCCTCCTTTCATATTCATCTTTTAGTTTGCCTTCTTCTTTGTTTCTCACGATTTCTTCCTCTCTGTCTCTACGGCTGCCCATGATTAGCTTAGAAAGATCATTAGGGTTAAGGTTATTTACCTTAAGTGATTAAAACTTATGGTTTGGGTTTAGGGGAAGAAAATAATATATTGACCCAACATTTTCAAGTCATTCTAGTGGGTTTTTCTTTTGGCCTATTTTACATTCTTGTGAGTCACGAATCTCGTATGATTCAAATCACACCAGAAGATAAAGAATCGGAACAAAAAGTAATCCGAGCGAGATCACTAGATAAGATTTGTTAACCCAGGAAGAACCAGTAATGGAGTTTCCGGGTTGCGAGATGAACTAATTGATTCAAGGAAAATATTATGTAAGAACGGCTAAGTAAGAAAGAACAAGTTTATTGCGTATCTTGCTCGAGAGTTCATGGCCCCCTTCTTGCCCTCTAGCTTATTTCGTATATATACCCTTTACACAGTGCGAGAATCGCGTTCGTACATTACAACCCCCATTCAAGTCTCTTAACTCTTGTTTGACTCGAACGTTACAAAATTTGAATGTCAGAACAACTATCTATCCTCTGGACCTCGCACCTCGCTGTCTTCTCTCATCTAGGGCCCAAATGTAGTAAACTCGCGGGCCGAGCTTTTCCTGAAACGGGATCCCGGATTGCTGGGTCGAATCTCATTATACTCGATCCGATGCCAATAGTTTGCCCCCAAAGTCCTCCAAGCGGA